ATCCAGCCTATTTATAATGAAATGTTTGAAAGAAAAGATACATACTTTATAGAGTACAAACACTAAAATTGTGCAACATAAATATCACTAAATAGTGTTATTTTATGCTAATTATATTGTTTTCTTTCGTTTAATTAGTGCTATTTACTGCTAAATAGTGATAACTATTGTGTTTGTACTCTATCSTTAAAGAGTTTTTGATAGGGTGAGATCTTTTGGATTGTGCATCGTTGTTACTGGATAATCTTCATGAATGAATTGAGAAGGTTGCTAAATCATTAACTACTAGCATTGTTAATTTTTCATATTTTTCAAAAATCAMCTAAAATCAACTCCACGGCTTTTGTCCGTGATAATGTTGAACATTTATTTAGTTGTCAAATTACTTATTACTCTACACTCTCCTTCAATTACATCAGGTGCCAAGACACGAAACGCCCACGAGAGACATCTCAACGTAGAAACTCATGAACCTCCATCAAGGGCTAAAGAATACTTACAAATGAGGTTAAGGCCTTCATTTGCTTATTTCCCATATATTTTCTATAAAAAAGCCTGACAAAGCAACATTCTAACACAAATGCAACAAAACATCTTTGTACCGCTTCAAACAGGCATTTTATCATAGTTGACATCAGTTTCTAACTGTTAAAAAAAAGGTTTTGAGTGTTAACCCAAAACGAAAATTGGGATYAAAACTCATACGAAAGTCTAGCTTTTGGCGCTTTTTGCCATTATTGCTCGTTATTGAAAAAAAAAWTCCTCTTAAGCTCTTCGTATAAACTTGAAGCACTTTTTTATCAGGTTTCGGCTTGGTCTTATGTTTTCCAAAACTGATAAAACACTATTGCTCAATTACAGTCGATAACTTACGTCTAATTTGATCTCAACTGATCAGGTTTTAATTCAGAAGTCTGTAAACACTTATTAATTTCMTGGAGGAATGTCGTCCCTGAGTCTCGTGAAAATGAGACAAGATTGCATTAAAACTCCATAGCATTAAAAAAAGGCAAACCAGCTCACGTCTCAGTTATTACTACTATTAATAGCTTAAGACAATTAATGATAAGGTTATGTTTGGAATACACCGCAAGCTGCTGTATCTGATATTTATTGTGCTTTGATTTTCACTGGAAAGTAAATCTTCACAGATAACTAATGGTTATGTTTGGAATACACCGCAAGCTGCTGTATCTGATATTTATTGTGCTTTGATTTTCACTGGAAAGTAAATCCTCACAGACTAAMACTAAACATATTTTACAGAACGTTATCCATACCTACACTATCTCCACATGTGCGGAATTTCAGCCAATTACCGTAAAATTTTCCAGTGAGTTTCTTTAACAAAGTTTCTGAATGATTTTCTATAAAAAGCTTTATAAATTACAGAGCAGCCGGCATAGATAGTTTACTCGGTTTGTTCAAGAGTGACCCGAAAGACAAGAAACAAAGGAGCTAGTTAATTTTTCAGTTCCCTCTAAGTGGGTGATAGGATTATCTCTTCCATATCTTGTTCATTAACAGTGTTTATATTAGCGTGCGCGCGCGCCGTTTTTTTTTTTTTTGGTTAAAAAATTTTCAATAAATTTGAAACGTTTTAAAAACATATATACATAAACGACATAAACGACAAGGAGAGGTTCACCGGACTTTTAGTACCGAATAAAAGTTCCAAAAGACAAAACAATAGCAATCAGTCATGTTATCTTTTSGTCAAGACAAACTCTTTTCATAATAGTTGCTTTATCTCTATCACGAACTCATGATATTACGGTTTTGTTTTATCTCTAATTTAGAAATCTGTCATTGATTGCGTGGAGCCTGCTAATATCTTGTAACAGTATACAGCTTACTAATTGTGCGATAAACGATACAGACCCCCTTGATTGTTTTTTGATTCCGTTAACTAGTTAACTATCGACTGGCGGCGAGTTGGAAAGGTGTTGCACACAAATTAGACAGCATATATTTTGATGAAAGCAATCTTTCTTRAAAATTGAAAAGAATATCAAAATTTTCATATGTGCGACACAAAAAAACTGTTGGGAAAAAAAGTAATTTCTAACCTTCAAAACTCAGTCCAAAGGTCCTGGAAAGAGCACTAAGGTCAAGAAAACATGCTGAGTTACAGTGCATTGCACATAATCTCAGTCGGTTCATTTTAAGTAAAAACAGATTGTATATACAAATGGTATACTTCACTTATCTATACGTATTAATGCATGGCGCCAAGGAGCTTTAGATCTTTCTCAAAATCATTTGCCAACTACCTTTCTTATCTGTGCGTAAAGGAACTTCCCATTATCATCCTTCGTCATTTTCATTTCCTGCAAGAGTGGGTTATCTGCAGTTTGTTGAATAGTTTTACTATTTTGTGATTTTATCTTTAAAAAAAGTTCATGCAAACGCGTGCGTACTTGGAAGGAAGAGTTTCTTATTTTGCAGACTTTTCAATTTACAAGTACCAATCTGGCTAGAAGTGATAGCGATCAGTAGCCGGGGACCACAAGTGGTGTTTGGTCAGTGATGTGGGTGGCTTGTTATCTGTCTATGCATGGGTTCAAAAAAATTAACCAGTTTGTTGGCCTCCAGCAAAACGAATCATAATCATAGTAAATCATGATTACCGATTTTTATTTAGGATTTTAAGGGAGAGATTTTAAATCTCTTTCCCTTCTCCATATTTTTACGTTAGAATATGTCCCTGGAAAGTGGTCGAAATACATGTACCTCGAGAGGTGGGCCATGGGTGCTTATTTATTGWGAAACGTTCTGGATGAACAAAAGGGTAAATGAGGCATATATGAGGAAAGCCTTGCCCCATTTTAATATCAATGAACTATTTTTTGGCTTCTTTCTTAGTCGCAGGGTCATAAAAGATTCACAAAAATCTTTGGATAAAGACCGACATGGCCGCCATTTTCTGTCGTTTAGTTACCTTTTCGAGAAATAATAAAAAAGATAGTTTATGCAACCAATTAAATATACGAGCTCGAAAATGTGTGTATGTATCCGATGGATATTTTCACCACATGAACATTATGACCGGCACAACATCATATATCTGAAAAGGAGACTCCCAAAAGGTTTTATATTTTCGTAAATTCAGTCCAAATTCAGTGGGAAAGTCATAACTAAGTTCGGCCAAGAATACGCAAGGGACAGKGCAGAAAACGGGTTCTACTTTCGACTTTTATGCGTTAATAAGCTTTATGTTTCATAAACAGCCTCTTTTGGGACTGATTAACAAAATACCAAAATTTGGGGAAATCTAAGGAATGCGTATTTGAGATATAACGCCCTGAACGTTGAGAGAGATGATATTTTGATCAGCACAAAAACTAACATTTTTGCTAATACCTCGAAGTACAATTGCTCGAGGTTGAGTAGAATTTTGTGAAAAGTTTAAAGCACAAGAGACACGAATGAAACACTAAACGTTTTTTAGCACGTGGTGATAAGAAGTACTAGCGTGGACTGCGTCGGTGTTTCTGAATAAAATGAGTAGGAACTTGTCGATAAATTGAATCACCGTAAAATGCTTTGTTCGAAACGTCAGTTTCACAAAGCTTTTTACGGAGATTCAATTTATCTACAAGTTCCCACTGTTTTTTTAGTATGAATGAGAGAAAATAAAAAATAAAGAAAAAAATGCGAAAGTAGCAGCCTTGTCGTTTTTCTGCTCCGTTTCCGCAAGGATGATTTTAGTCAGTTGTTCATGACAATTTAAGCGTCTTAGCTGAGTAAATATTACGGTAATTTGCTAGTTTAACTAACAAGCAGTTTAATGCTGTCCTTAACATGATAACCTTTGACATGAGAGCATGCAAGGATGGTTTCTGCTTTGTAAACTCCAGTCATTCAAAACGCCACCCAGGACCACGTTCCCTCTGTMCTGTTCACCGGGTTACAAAGAGAACAATTCAATATGGTGGGTCTCRGGAGAAATTTCGTTCCAGGGATCAGAAATTTGGCTTGGAGATCATTTTAGGACGGCCCTGCTTAGACCCCGTCCACACTATGCCGRATAAATTTGAATCCGAATTTTTTTTTATTCGGTTCCATTTCGAAAATTCGTTTTCGGTGAAGAATTGTTCCGGATTCGCCCGGACTAGTGTGGACGGTAGGCCTAATCGAATAAATAAAAATTCGGATTCAAATTTATCCGGCATAGTGTGGATGGGGCCTTAAACTCCAGTCATTGAAAATTTGCCATTTGGAATACTTTTTTTCTCAGACTCACTATGAAGTTTGGAGCGACTTGCCGGTAGGGTTATTACTACTGAGGGACCAATTGAACATGGTGCGAGGTCTCGTGAGAAATTTCGTTCCGGGGATCAGAATTTTGTTTTGAGAGAGCCTGTTTAAACTCCATTCAATCAACCAGTACCCCTTGTGCCACGTTCCTTAGACCCTCCCATGAGGTATTTACGAAGCTGCAAAGTTGCTATGAAAACACTTCAACCTTTGAGTATCGTTCCTAAGCTAGGATTAGCGATCAAGCAAAAGAGGAATTTTCAGATCAGGAATCTGAAAACCTCTTTTGGGATTATTCGTTAAGATGGGATCAGTTTGAKTTCAGGGATCAAAAATGCCGGAGAGAAGTATATATTTTCAACACCCACGTCACRAGACAATGAACCCATATTGTTTTGAAGATACTGAATTTGAGAATCCAACCTGKATGCTTTATTTAAACCTCATAATGAGCCTAACCCGAGAATCTGTATTTCACTATAGACATAAATAACCATTAYTACAATACGTAATATTATCTTCAAATTCTTCACAGGTAAATCGTAACTGAATCCCATCAAATGTCGTTTGATTGAGATTAATACTGGGGGGAAAGAGTGAAAAACGTTCCCTTTAACCCCATAATGAGTATTGTAGTTTTCGGTTTAGGCAACACTAGAATCCTATGGTAAGGTTTTTAACTTATTAAAATCAGTTCCTAAATTTAAGGGGGCAGCAACAGGAAACCTGAGGAGTCCCCCTCCCCCTCCCCAAAGGGCTGCTACTTAGGCTAGAGAGTAACCGTGTAGGTTAAACATGCAGTGTTCCGATTCATGGTCAAGAGCCTAGTAAAACTTAATATTAATAATAATATTAATATTTTCAATAGATAACACCCATTGTATCATRGCAACGGGACGTTTCTATGGCAACGAAATCTGGTTGTCATTGAAACGATTAATCATTATTTTAAATACGCTTTCAGTTTGATCGAAAATAGAAGGAACCCATCCAGCTAACCAATAACATGCCACTTCTGAATCACGTGACAAGGTCACATGATGCTTCTGACATCTCTTATATGTAAGAACTCTATAAAGTGGTTATGTTCTAAGCAATATATACTATATCTATTCATTAATAATTTATAGATATAAGGTAACACCCATTAGTTTTAGTCTTGGTCATAAATGTTGTCTGTCTGTCCATTTTTGCTATGTCGTCTGTCTGTCTGTCTGATTTGTCTTACCTTGCAAATCTTCCTAACAAAAAAACAAATATTTAGTTGATCTGGAGAAAGCCTTCTGTAAGGTTGGGTATCTTTTTATCTTTTATTGATCTTAGCTTGCAATGCATTTATTCTTGCTTCGACCTTTGCACAATTTTCCTCAATGGCAGACATGTTGGATGAAAAACTCGACTCAACCTGATGAAAACAGAATGATAATCATGTCTTTCAATGGGTTATAATTATCATGGTGACCACTGCCCAATGGTACCCTACATGGAAATATCCCTAGAAAGGATAGACAAAACTAAACGGCAAAGCCCATCTTGGAGCAAGAAAGCTCTTTGTAAGATTAGTTTAGTTGCCTTGGTAAAATAAAGATGATACTGATTGATGACGATGATGATGACGATGAATGTTGACACTGGTGGTGATAACGGTGACRATGACCAATTAATGATTACGATGCTGATGTTGGAATTTATGTTGATGATRATTTTGAATAATAATATTGAAAAATGTTGATGATGAGCATGTGATGTTGATGCTGAGGCCTAAAGACATCACGTTRCTCATGGTGGTGCATTAGCGACGATGATAAATGATAAGCATGATGGTGATGATGCTGCTGATGATGTTTATGATGACGATGTTGACGATTATAAAGAGGATGATGCTGATTACGATGATGATGATGTGATGTTGTTAATGATGTCGATAATGATGACGTTGTTAATGATAATGATGATGATGCTGATTACGATGATGTGATGTTGATAATGATGTTGATGACGATAATGATGATGAAGATGATACTGACCTCTTTTAGCAATGTTTCCTGACTCTTTAACTGATTTGTGACTTCATGTTGAGCTTTGTCTAACTGAACTAAGGTCTGACCAAAATGACTAGCTAAAAATGGAATGTTCAGAAAAATACATCAGTTATAGCTAGCTAAGATACCAGGTATGAAGRGTTGTGGCCTCTTAAACTTTTTATCACATACATTTCATCCATTTAGCATTAGATGAGATAGTCACACCCCTCCCCTCTCAGGTTCAATGTTGGCATCACCCAGGATCCTTCGCGGGATTGGGGTCCAAGGCAGAGAAAATAAAGCAGAAGCACATGGTTGTAAAAATAGTGTGTCGATCATTTAATCTTTACCAGTTTAAGCCCAAGCGAGAGGGCAACACAGATTCTTCCAATTTTTTGATACCCTGAAACAACCTCTTGGCTGATCAAAGATAGGGCAAGGCTAACTCACAGATCAAGTTGGGATTTGTTAGTCTTTACGGAGGGAGGAAGAAACAAAGAAACCAAAGAAAAACCCTTAAATCAAGSGAAACTCTACTTACAGACCCCAGAGGCGAGAGGCTAGTGCCCTACAGTTGCGCCTTCCTTGCAATTGATTCCCAGTTTTAATATTTTTGCAATAAATAACAGTTAACTACACAAAAAGATATAACTAGCTACAACTAGTGTGAGCTGCGTCGGTGTTTCTAATGAAACAGTAATGATGAAAAGGTAAATTATACACCGTGAAAAGATGAAAAAACGTCAGTAAGTTTTTTCATCTTTTCACGGTGTATAATTTACTTTTTCATCATTACAGTTAACTACACAAACAAGTGACTGATTCTTTATCYGAAAATGGAATACACACCTTGTTCATGGAGAGACTTTAAAGAGTGGAGGCGCTTTATCTAAACAAGATACAAGTACAGTCAAATYGCTATCATTTTAACATCCTAAAGCCTTTTTAAACCATTTCCATATCAAAATACAATGGATGGGGAGTACAGGTATGTGAGGGAAAAATTGAAAGGTCAACATACCACATCTGGAACGACATCAACTACACAGTCCCACTTGCTCAGAAGATCATATAACTCAGCAATCTAAGAAGAATCAATGAAATAATGTAATTATAAATAGGTAAAATTTTAGTTTCAAACTTACCTTAAATAACATGCCAAATTTTTAGTAGGTTAGGTTTTGAATAATCAATTATTAGTACCTTTTGCAGAAAGAGAGAGAGAGGGGGGGAGGGGGGGAACACCCATAAGAAGAACCCTGGAAGCACAGGAGAAAAGCTGAGCAAGAAGCACCTCATTCTGCACCCATATGATGGTGGCAAGGGTGGATCCAGGGGAGGCAAAGGGGGGCTGATTTCCCCCTTCAGCAGAAAAAAAACAAGACAAAACTGAAGAATTAGTTGCTTTATTTTATTGTTTTCTGTTGTGCTGACGGAAGAAACTCAATTAGCCCCCCCTAAACTCAATTAGCCCCCCCTCCCCCCAAAAATTTTGGCTGGATCTGCCCTTGGGTGGAACTCCATATCAAACCATGCACAAGTGGGAGCATCATCAAGTGCCCAGTAATTACGGTTCCTAAGTATGCAACTAGTTTTTTTGATAATGAAATAWTAATTATAAAGATTTACTTTTGACTGCTTTGCAGCATTTTCTACTTTATCCTTCTTCTCGGAGATCTGGCTAACATGATGGAGGATGCCCTGGAGAAGAAAAGATTGTAAATATCAACATTTTATGCACTTTGTATTAATGGTGTTCAAAACTAGAAATAGTGAGTAAAACCCACCTGAAGTCGAGCATCAATATGTTCAACATGGTTGGGGTCTAAAAGAGCAACTTTAGACTGGATTGCTGAAACTGCTGCCTGTTGGGGGAAGAATAAATTATGTAAGGTTATCAAGTGTATATGACAAGAAAACATTTGATCCTTTAAGATGTATAGTTTGTTAATAATAACAAATATATCGCAATGAAATTTGTTTCAAAAGCTCATTTCTTGGGATATGTGAGAAAATTAACCAATTCGTGACGTTATTTTGTTGTCCCGTACTCTAGATTCAGTAGTAATGTACTAAATATAAATTGTAATTCGTATAAAATAACAACAAAAGGCATATTCTATTCAGCTTTATTCGATAGCTTACATAGTACTCTTTAACAGCTTTATTCGATAGCTTACATAGTACTCTTTAAATGTTGGGAAACTGAAAAGTGTACTACCTGAAATTAAGATTCTACATTCAAACATATTTTGTGCATTTGCAACTAAATCTTGAGACTTGTAAATGAAATYAACATTAAAACTGTCATATGCACTTTAATTTGGAACCTCTACCTCTATTTAGCAGACATTTCTGTACTCACCAGTATGCTTTTCTCCTTGATTTCAAGATCGTCTGTTATAGATGACTAAAACACATAAACAAAAGGTTAACGGGATGTCATCACCTTATCATGGGGGGCAATTTGTTTGTMCCTGTGACCCCTAGAGCTATGTTCTATTAGGGCCACCCATGCTGAATAGGTYAGAGGGTAGAGATCAGACATAGTGCCTTCCCTGAATGACTTCTTGCAGCTACTTGCAGGTAAGAAGTATAATTGTAAATGTAATAATTAAAACAAATAAACCTCAAATGTCAAACTTAATTGCTGTGCAATGTGYAGTTATAAAGCACTTGGGGATTGCCAGAACATTCAAGGAGTGTTGAGAAGCATTCTACCACATGTCATGCTTCTTTTAACAACTATAACTAATGTGTTCTGCCAATTTCTAAATTCTTTATGACTGCACCTGTGCACATTTTCTATTTTTTTGAATGGTATAAGGTTATGATGGATAGCACACTTACCACTACATTGGGATCATCTCCAAGTACTTTCTCTAGGGTTTGGACTCTGTTCTCAAGGTCACTCATCTGTAAGGTATGTAGAGTAAGTAACATGTAAGTAGAAAAACAATGGACTATATTTTCGATCATAAGGTGGCCATCTTGAATCTCAAGGCATTATGGGGTGYCCAGGGGGAAATAAAGCTTTGTTACAGTAATGACRTTGATTGATATTAACAGTTCACCACAAGAGAATACAATTAAAGGTGAATTAAGACTGCAAATTGATCACCTTTACCCATAAATGAAATACAAACACAGAAAACTCTTTATTATTTTCTGTCATCTTTGTTTTGCTTTGCYCCCTGGAAAGGTGGCAGCGGTCAAGGGCGGATCCAGCCAAAATTCTAAGGGGAGGGGGCTAATTGAGTTTCTTCTGTTGACACAACTGAAAACAATAAAAAAAAGCATCTAATTCTTCAGTTTTGTTTTGTTTTGTTTTTTTCTGCTGAAGGGGGGGCTTCAGTCCCCCTTTGCCCCACTCTGCATCCGCCCTTGGCAGTATCCTCGAAGAAGTCCATTGCAAAAGTGAAATTGAAYGTCATTGTAGACCATTCTAGCAGCTGAGTGTTCATTGATCATTGATAGTCAACAGACCCATCAACCAGCCACAGTCAAGGGCATCAATCATTGATCTATCCATCTAATTTATTGGACAGTCCATTGTTATGGAGCAGAATTTTGACCAGTTGAGTAAAGTGGATCACTGTCGGTCGCTGTTGATCAGTTTGCTGTTCATGGTTAATAACTCTACACAAACAACTGTACACAAACCTTGGAAAGTTGGTTGAATTTAGCATGTTCAGGCTTATAATACAGCTCATAAGTAACAGAATCCCCTTTATCCTAGAGAAGAGAACAAGAAATATACTGTTGATAAAACTGTTCAAAACTTTCTTGACTTTATCAAATTTGCACCATTTGCTGCAGCCCAAACACTAATTGTTTGGTTGTTAAGTGTGGAGCAAGTCAATGGTGGCTGGTACAAATGCACAGTTTTTCACAATTGTCAGGGTTAAAAAAGGTTATGATGACCAGCTGAATTAGTTTGAGTATGGTCATACCTCATTTACGGCTTAAGATTACTGGTCAAAATAACTAGTAATTAAGGCAAAGATTTAACTGAACAAGTTTCAATCTCTACTGTGCTACATATTTTTTCGRTGCCAGGGCTCTCTAGTAACTTTTCCCTCTTACACTAAAAAAATCCACTTTTAAATTTCAATTTGAATTGATGTCAGAAGCCTAAACATGAACATCTGAGCAAACACTGCCTGTTCTTCAACAACAACAACAACAAAAACTAGGAACGGGTTTWAAAATCTTTACATGTATGTGATTATCAGTTCAAAAGGCAAGATGATAATGATTGTAATAGTAAAGAATGTGACCTCAAAAAATATGTGTAGGAAGGGTGTTCACCAATATTTTATTGTCATCCTTTCGATATCTTCAAATTTTATGATACTCTAAAAAGTTAGGGCATGGCTAATTCAMAGATTAAGYTGGAATTTAGTGTTGGGGTTGCATTAATTACTTTATATAATATAAAGCAACATGTCTTGGAGCCATACTTTTTTAGTTTTTGATTCTCCTTCTTGTGCCTTAAATGACTCAAGCTGGGTCTTTAATCTCCTAATTATGCAATATAAACTTAGTATTAGTACACAATATGAACTAGCAGGGTATAAAAGTAAAAGTATGGGTAGGTTATTGATACATTGCTCACTCAGGTATTTTGTAGGTAGCTTAATGTGGGTAGTTTAATGGAATACACAATACTGTATAAACTAGCAGGGTAATAGTTAGCATGGTGCGATAAAATCTGTGTCCGTATGCCATCAGTAGGGGAAGGGTAGGTCATTGGTACATTGTTCACTTGGGTATGTTCTTGGTACTTTAATGGAAAGGTGAGTATGGCTCAAAATAATGGCCTGTTAATGGACAAATGCTTCTCAGGCTGGTTCTCTTGACCAGTCACATTGACTGGTCAGATTGATGAGTCTGGTGGTATCAGTCCGATGTGGTCAGTCATGATGTCCAGTCACATGCATGTTGGTGCATGTACAAAGTAACTCAATCACGACATGTTCAGTTTCTTGGTTGATTGCAGGCCCGTCGCTAGGACCTTGAAAGGGGAGGTTCGTTTTTCTAGCAATCTTAGTTATGCAATTTCTTGAAAAACTAAAATAGTGCTAAAGATTTTTTCGTCCTCCTACAAAGGTGTAGAGGGAGATTTGTTTGAACCATCAAACCACCCCTAGGGACTGGCCTGGATCGTACTTACTGTGACAAGCCAGTCTGGGGTGTAGAAGAACCAGTCAACACCTAAAATATATACAATTTAATTAATTATTATATATAGTTTTATTTTACAAATTTGTTAGCTAACCTAGGCACATAATGATATTGTAAACTATATTATTATATAAAGTATATTTAAAGGGTGTTACATGTATAAGGAAGTTACCCCAGGGGGTAGGGAGGAATATATTCCCTTTGTCCAAGTGGTAGGGGTTTTATGGTGGAAAATATTTCCTGTGAGAACCTTTTGGGGTTTCAACTTAGCACTCAGGCTCTAATATTATGATTGTAATAAATTTGTTATATCGTAAATTTCGTTTACAATTATGAATTATGATTATACTAATATCAAACATCATTGAAATTGTACAAAAAGAAAAATTAAGAGCAATTAAAATAATTGAATTCAATTGAATTGAAAATGAATACAAACCTTTTCTCCAAGAACTTTCTCTAGTTGGAGATCTTGCAGCTGTAAATGAAAATTGATGCAGAAGGTGAAGGATGTTGACTACATGACTGTACAGCTAACAAACAAATTTATCCAATTTCCCATATTCTACATTTCCTATTTCCCATATTCTACATTCAATATATCCTATTTCCCATATTCCACATTCAATATATCCTATTTCCATCTATCCCATTTCCATTGCTGAAAAGAGCATAAAAATGTTTTTACACTTGTTTTTCAATGATGCCTTGTAATACATCTTAGCAAAGCTTTTAGGTATATCTGCACTGTGCTCAGTTAGATTTGTAGAGACGGCCAAACTTTTGAACCAATCAGAGTATAGCAAACTACTACAATTAAAAATTCTAGACTTTTACCAACCTGCTCTTGAAGTACTTTAACCTGCAATAAAAACCATATATGAAAACAAATAAATTTTCAGAATGTGAAAATTTAGTAAAGAAAGAATAAGACCACTAATTATAAAAGCAGTGAATAAAGGATCAGGGAGGAGTGAGAAAAGGCTGAGACAGAAAAAATATATGGAAAAGGAAGACTTTAAAAAATTTTATCATTGATTTAAACCCGTGCCCTGGCGATTCCAGTGCCAGTATTTAAATGCCTTTTCCTCTCCGCTGTTAGAATTGATATATCTAAAAAGAATGCCTGGTAAGAAAAACCAGTCTATAAATTACTGTTGCCTCTTTTAATTGTATTTAAGAATTTAAATTTAAGTCACAATAATAAACTGACCTCTTGTGCTAGGGCAACAGGGGAAAGCTTCATTTCTTGTTTCTCATCTGTCATGGCACCCTAAAGGGGAAAGAACAAAAAAAATGTTTGTCAATATAGAAATTCAAATATAAAGTGATCAAAAAAGGATTATTATTTAAAAAATATAAAAATTTATTAAGCATTTAGGTTTAGTGTCAGTGTGATAAAGTTGTGAATAAAAACATATCAAAGAATTGCGAAGTGATGCAATATTTTTTCAAAGTAAACTGGAAACTGTGAGTTTTGTTATTGTATCAATACTTTTTCACAGTATTGCTACAAATGTGAAGGTTTTTTCAAAGCAAGCACTGACTCATGCTCCTTTCAATGGTTTCTATGCACAAGTACCTTGATTTGTTCTAGTTCTTCAGCCAGTTCCCTCATCTCATGCTGTAATCTCTGGAACTTCTGTTCAGGTGTTTCCTTTTCTTTATTCTCTCCCAATATTTCATATTCAGTTTTAGTTCGGTAGCCTTTCCTCTGTTTTATGCCAATGTTATCTGAAAAATCTGAACAAGGCATACACATATATAGTAAGGCTGGCAATAAATTGTTGCACAGTCAACTTGCCATGTTAGCCATGAAATGTGTTGTATCGAAGAAATAGAAAATATGTGCTGTGTGTAGTTATAAAGCATGTGGGRCATTGGCAGAACACAAGAGAAGTGTTAGGAGAATGTTAGACAGTACCATTCAAGAATATGACTGTACACAAATGCAGTGTGTAGTTATAAATAATGTAGAAATTGGCAGAACTCAATGTCATAGTTGTTAGAAGAAGCATGACATTTGGTGGAATGCTTCTCAACACTTCTTGAATGTTCTGGCCATCCCCAAGTGCTTTATAACTGAAAAGAATTGTAATGAAACAGCACTGGAAAATATAATAAAGACTTTGAGCCAATGGTTCATGCTTCTCTTCAAGTCAAGATAGACAATTTCTGAGATGAGGGAGTGCTGTCAAGAGTATTGCATGTTCAAACATGAAAATGAGGCTTTTTTTGGGAAAGATCTTCTAGCACTTATGAAAACACACAAACTTTGAAATTATTTTAATAGGAATACTTTGGAGTTTCTTTTAGTTCAAAAGCAGAATTATGACAWTTTTTGGGGAATTCAGAATAAATCTTAGACTTGCTCCAAGTCGACCTCTCTTGTTTTCTAGGCGTTTTTTTAATTYGAGCGCAGCAAGCGAGCGAYGAAGTCGCCAGAGGTCGACTTGTTGAACTTGCAGGATATTCAATTCACCATTTCCAAATTTGATACGGGAGTGTCGGCTTTCGGGGGCGGAGCTAAAGAATTGTGGTTTTCATTTATTTGTTTCTTCATGTTATATCCAGAGCAGCAAAACATGGTTTATCAATAATAATGGTTGATGCTATAACTCCAACTAAAACTGTTGAAAGGATAGCGATATCTCCAGCGTCCAAACAAAAAATATGCTTTCTTTGCGCYAGTCAAGTTCCGAACAATGACTATAGACGGAAATTGTTTAGTCGTCTCCAACATAGGAAGCAGAGATCCCCTTCTGATTTTAAAGACGTTACTTGGTCTTTCATTAAAGAGACCAAAGGGACAACAACAACAGCCTCGATGAAGTTTTTCTCACTGAACCTCATAAAATCTAAGGCGAATGGAGCGATCTCAAATGTCAGGCTTTTTCCCGCTGCTGTTGGTGCAGATATAAAAATATCTCTGTCTGAAAGATACACTTCTATGCTTTGTTTCTGCTATTCTCTTATAGTTTCGTATCCTAATTTACTTTTACTGTATGATATGGCCTCAGATATTGATCTCATGTTGTCAGACAGATGTTGTGTTGACAGATGCCGATGGGAATCGTAGAGATAATCTTACTAATCTTACATTGTGATTGACAGCTTGGATTTCGAGCATTGTGATTGGCTATAATTTACTGACTGATTTTTGGGTCGGTAAATTTGGTGGGAAGCAAGATCGAAAAGTCCGTTGTGCGCCCAGTAAAAAAAAAACAAAGTGGGCAGCGGACTTTGCAAAAGTCTAAATAAATCTTTTCTTCAAGGGTTGTAGAAATTGGTGTTCAGCATGGTTTTCAGCACACCATTTACATGTAGATCTCTGGGAACCACAGCAGGGTCAAGCTTCTCATGGAGGTCAAAAGCTAAATTACATAGATCAGCTTAGGAGTGATTCTGGTCTGCAGTCAGGATGAGATCTCGATGTACTGTATAAAACACAGACCAATGTGACAAGCCATCACCCACCATGAGTCCGGAGGAGACTTGAAATGATGATATGGTTTTCAAACGCTTTTTAGGAACTCTGCCTGAAAATGCCTCGTTTTCATGTCTGTGCCTACAATTTTTATTAAATCACTCATGCATCTCAGACATCATCTATTCTTGAATCATGCTTTCACCAAAATGAAAATGTATTAGTTTGCTACATAATTTACCTGATGCAGTGGAATCTAAATATCTACCATTAAAGTTAGCAAAAGCCTTCTTGGAATCAATGTTTAAAATTTCCACATTTTCATCCACATCTTCCATCTGCAACGATAGAGTAAAATATACATTATGAGTTTACCATTTAACAATTAGACTACGAGGTCGAGTTTTCTATGAGTCAATAGATAGTCGGGAGTGAATTAGTGTTAGTAAATTTCGTGTTAAAATACGTGGCTGTCTTTAAAATGAGGAATGGGGAACGGGAAATTGGTAAAATCTCTAYGCAGTAAAATATATTTCTCGTTAGAATATTCTAAAAAATCTTTTTATTTTTATTTATTTTTGTATTAAAGTCCGGCAAACGTACTTATTTCAGCCTAGCATATCTATGGAGTCGCTGAACGTAACAACAACAAAAAAGACGAAACGGTTTGAGCATTTCGGTATTTTAAATAACAGAGATACCAAACATAGGGTCTTTGCGTAAAAAAGTATCTCAAAGAACAACCCTCGAGACTCTCTCTCTCCCTCGGCGGGGCTAGTTGAGATTTACAAATGTGATTAGTTATTTTCTTGACCAAAATGTGGCCTCAACTCTGGATTCATGTTGACACCGTAACAACTAATGACCTGAATTTATTCCGTGCAAAATGCATATGATTCTGTTAAGAATCAAGGAAGTTTTGACGTTTGACAAAATTTTGTCCAGCTTTGAAGCAGGCTGACGGCGTCTTTGAAGTTTGGTAAAGCGAGACACCTTTTGGTAAGATTTAAAAAAATTAYGTTCACACCAGGAAACGGCTGATGTTGACAGATATTTTTGCAAAGCAAACATAAATTTAGCCTAGTGCAAATGGGCCCTAAAACTCATCAAATACAATATTTCAACTGACTATTTCATTAATAAATTCTATTCACAATATTTAGAGAAATATATTTTACCGCGTAGAAATTTTACCAAATTCCCGTTCCCTGTTCCCCGTTCCCCGTTCCCTGTTCTATAGACAGCCAAAAATTCAAATTAAATGGCCCATTAAACGTCAAAGATCAAAGAAAAGCATTTAGCCCAAATATGGGCATTTTGATTTTAAAAATAACAAAATAAAAATACTTCGAAAAATGAATATCAGCTGTTGCTTTGTATTTTTGGAATTGTAGCTGTGTTACATGCAACATCAATAAATCTTTCAAGATTATATTACATTTTAGAACTACTACAAAGGGTTTCTCACAAGTGAAATTAAAAAAGGCGTTTTTAAAGATTTTTAGATCAATATAATAAATAGGACTAAATGAATAATCTTTGAATGATTTTTTTTAGAAGTGTTAATATTTTGCTTAGATTCAAAAATTTCATTTATTTACACTAATATTACATTGTGCACAAAAACGTTTTCTTTACACTTTAATATATTTTAGTATTCTTGCCGTTTTTTTCTACAATTCCAAGCCATAATCTTACCGCTTCTTGTTCAKTCTGGTCTGTATTTTTCTCCACGTCTGGAGTCTCGAATACATCGGGCTGATTATCCTAGTAAAACAGATCAAAACAAGTTAAAAATAAAAGAGAAAACCCCTATGTCCTTTGGAGAAGATATAAAAAACAGAAGAATGGGGTTTGAGTAATTTTTAAAGGAGTATTTAACATACAATTCCTGGGAGGTTCGCGTATTTACTTCTGGCCGCCATCTTGGAAAAACTACTGGTAACCAGCCCTCTCTCTCTCTCAGTAGGTATGCCAAGCCCAAATCTAATGGCATGAGGGGGAAGGGAGGGGAGGTTAAAAACAAAATCAAGCTGAATTTGTTACATATATTTAATAGTATTAGTGAATTATTGACTGACAATATTCAGAGTAGTGCATATTTTACCATATCAAAGGTGGTCTTATAGGGGTAAGGGAAAAATCTGCAAAATATCTTAGGTCTTCTCACTGGCCCATACTGTATCAGATGCCACTGCCATGGGCCTTTTCACACGGCAGCCATGTTGGTTGGAACAATAGATTCTACCACGCGTAGCCTCGCATACAAGAGTTTGAGAATGAGTTTATGTGGGTGAAACAAAGGTTTTTATTGTCATGAGGATAAACATGGCTGCCGTGTGATAAAGCTGGTCCATTACAAACATTATAGAACCAATGAATATAAAGAATGAAGAGTGTAAACAAACCAAGTTTTTGAAAAATAATACTCATGTTTGTGTATGGTAGAGTGCTTCAGTCAAACTGTTGAATAGTGTATGTCACCTAAATTAGATAAGTTAGTTACTATTTTAGCTGACCTTACATAAATTTGAAACTACGAGTAAACAGCTACTGAGATCAGGGGGAGACACGATGATACAAATGAATGTCTATTCACTTATTCTCTTGTAAAACAAACCCCCAGATTGGCATGACAGTTATTTGGTGCGCTTTGACTATTTTAGGTGACGTCTGAACTAAATAGTTATCTAAGTTAGATATACATTTATCTAACTATTAAATATTTTAGACCATTTTAATTTTTTATGGACTTAATCACTACTGACCWTTAGTCAATATGCAGCCAAAGTACATATACTTATTTCAATAAAGTTAGTCACCAAGAACCTAGAAAGCTGAGATCACTAAGGACCATGGGAAACAAT